GTGTGGAAATAAACACACGATTCTCTGAAATTATTTTGATGAATTAGCCTTTGAGAATCACTGACCGACCGTATTTCTGTCCCGAGACTCGAAACACTAATTGTTGTGTGACGTCCGATACTCTTCTTTCAGACCTATTTCCTGCACATGGAATAAAAAAATATAAAACATACACTTCGTGCCTGATTAGTGGTTAGTCATTCATAAGATAAAATGCTCACAACACTCGATAATCTCTACACAGTCTAAGCTCAAAAGCGAAACGTTTGAAACTTACCATATTCTGTGACCTTGATGTATATATAAAACAATGCAAATGAAGCAGGGATCTTAGGTCAAAAATTGGGGTATGACATTTTCCATTTTCAAAACTTTTTGATTCATGATTCTTTGGTTTGTTACTTTTGGTTCTTTGAGTTGTTTGGCCTTGTTTAAGGACAAACAAGTTCAAGTTAGGGAGAGTTTGATAAGTGCAAATTGTAGTTATTTTTGTATATACGTTTTATTGCACTTATCGACTTTTTGTTGTTAATATTCGTTGAATAAACCTGAATTTGTGTAAATATGTTTAGTTTGTGTTAATTTATGTTTTTGTGTACATAGGGTACTGTTTTGATGTTTTTCCATTCATTTTATAGGTATTGATGCGTACTTGGAGCATGATTAACAAAGTGTCAAAGACACAACTTCCAACGTGCGATTTTGAGAAACTCATCAACGGATAAGGCTCAAAATCAAAGAATAAGAAATCATAAATTTGGTTGATATTTAGGAAATTTTATATAGATAATTGAATAAGCTTTCCAATACTTCGAACCGGGCTTAAATCGAAGTTACGGTTTTAAAGTTATGGCGAAAACAAAAAGCTGATTTTTTTCTTATGACAGTAGAGTGCACTAGCGGGATAGTGCCGCTTAGCATGGTCTCATGGACAGAAATACGTTAAAAAGGCCAAAATACATATTTTTTAGGTTATGTTTTGGGGTATTTGTTCCCAACTCATCAAACATTCACTTTTTGGTAGAGAGAGCTTAGGAAACAACTTCGGAGCTTGCATACGGATGATCCGGGGTGGAGTGATCATCAATCGGCACTGAAAAACCAAGAGATTTTTGGTTCATTTCTCTTTCTCTTTGTGTATTTCTCTTTTGTTGGGTTTGGCATATGATTTTACTTTGAACTCATGTATATTTGTTTCCCATGTCGTTATATTAATTTGCTTTACAAATCTGTGTCGATTGTTATCTTAGATTTTTGCTCTATGCTTGGGGTTTGAATTGTTATAGACATATACTGCTCAAATCTTTATATAAGATGATTATCTGTTAGTTTTTCGATTCTAGAGATAGATTTAGAGCTAACAATATTTATGGGTGTCGAAGCTTAATGCTTTCGTGCTGGTTGTGTTGGTTGAGAGATCGTCGATACGAGTAATATGGATGTCTGTTGTGTTGTTGAGGATGGCTGAGAGATCGTCGCCGAGATGATATAGTAGTTCTCTTTACTTTGGGTTATAAATAACTTAGGGAGTGAGGAATTCTAGATGACTCTGAGGAGTATTGTAGGTTGAGTGTAATTGGTCGATAAGTTTAAGCTTGTTATAAGCAGATTATATGCATGCTTGATAAGTTTCTTCTCTCTAGAGAATGAATTCTTTCCTGTTCATATTTACTTTTATGTTTTTATGTTTTAGGAATTCAATCCAAACGCATAACTATAGTAACTGTTGAATGGCAGTTCAGTAGCACTAATCTCCGTGGACACGATAAATTCCTAGATAAATATTTCTAAAAATTGTATTGCTTGCTGCTTTACTGCATCAATAGTCGTCCATGTAGAATTCGAGCATATCGCTTATTTTGTTGAGAAAGACTTTGTTCATCATGTGATGATATGTAGCACTCGCGTTTTTCAGGCCGAAGAGCATTACATTATAGTAATAGTTACCCGACTCGGTCATGAAAGCGGTATATTTTTTGTCCGCTTTTTCCATTTGAATCTGGTTGTATCCAGAATATGCATCCATAAAAGATAATAATTTGAAACTGGCCGAATTGTCGACCAGTTTGTCAATATTGGGGAGAGGATAAGAATATTTCAGGCAAGCCCGATTGAGGTCAGTATAATCAATGCACATGCACCATTTTCCATTAGATTTCTTTACAAGAACTACATTCGAGAGCCAAGTTGTGTACTCGACTTCAGAAATAAAGTGTTCCTCTAAGAGGTCTTTTGCAGCTAGTTCCGCAGCCTCTGTTTTTTGAGGGATGTTTTCTTCTGTGCTGGGCAACCACCTTGAGGGCAGGGTCTATGGTCAGGTGATGGCATGCAATCTCTGGGGTCAAATATGGGAATTTTAGCTGCGCTCCAAGCGAACATATCAACATTCTCCTTCAAGCAAGATTTAAGTTTCCTCTTCGCCGGGTCGGGGAGGCCAGCTTCAGTCTTTACTCCTCTGGTGGTATCTTTCCCGAGGGGGATGATCTCGAAGTCTCTGTTTGGAATGGGTCGTATAGGATCTGAGAGTTCCTCGCTACATGCAGCTAGGGATGAACTTTCACCTTCGACCATGGGCTCTTTCCATTTCTTCCTCTACTTTGTGTGATCCTCCTCGAAGAAGCGGTTATCAAGGTCAATGAAGTCGACCCTTGGCAGTGGCTTGGCCTCCTTGGAGCTGGGGGGCAGGGCGGCCCCAATGGTCTTTTAGGGTTGAGCATTGATGGAACTCAGATCTTTGGCTGAGGCTTCAAAACATATTCTTGTCGCCTGGACGTCCCCGTGGAGGGTGGCAACCAAACCCTCTGTAATGTAGTATTTCAATTTAAGGTGTACGGTAGAGGGCACCGCAATCAATTTAGCCAGAATGGGCCTCCCGAAGATACATTGATAAAGAGATGGGTAATCCACTACAAGAAATTGAGTCTTGATGGCTCTGGCGATCACTCTGCTTCCGAAAGTGACGATCAGCTCGACATATCCCCATGGTTTGGTACTGGCCTTGTTGAAGCCCTAGAGGTCTGATCCCACATACGGGGTCAGGTGGCTTTCGTTCAGCTGTAAGGTAGTGAACAACTAGGTGTACATGATGTCCACCGAGCTCCCTTGATCGACCGGTATGCGCTAAACATCAAAGTTTTCCATGCGAGCCCGCACGAGCAGTGGGATAGTCGAGTTGGGGGATCTGCCTGGCAGTTCATCCTTGTAGAAAGCAAGGGGATGAGAGCCTCCTCAGAACTTATTCAGTATGGCATCCATGTAAGAGTTGGCTTTGATAATTTGCTCGAACCTTCTTTTTATGGATCACACTGTATGCTTGTTAAATCCCTCACCGGAGATGACCATCGCAAGGGGAATGACTCCCAGGGTTTGTGAGAGAAGAAGTACAATGGGACATTCTCCATGTTTGGGAAGTAGAAATCTTCTGGTCACAAGATACTCATGGCGACAGATATTGTGCTAATATCGGGGAACTCCTTCCTGTCTTCGACGCTCTTGGTTACTGGATCCTCCTTGTGGGCACCTTCTTTCTTCTTGTACTTCTTGAGGTGCCCGTCTCGGATTAGTATCTCGATCGCATAGAAAATACAAACAAAGGAACGAACTCATCCCGAGAATGAACCAAAACATGGCCTTCGAGGAACATCCCATCTGAGTATGAACCAGGCAAATAATATCTGAATATTTCTTTTTTATGCTTGTACAACAAGTAAAATAAAGAGGGAACAAACTTATCTCGAGAGTGAACCAAACAAATCCTCAAAGGAACACCTCATCTGGGTATGAACCAAGCGCACAACAATCACTATTTCTTTCTTTTTTTGTAATTTTGACATAATTATAAATAGTACAGTAAAGGGAACACACCCATCCGAGTATGAACCAAAACCAAATTAACTTGGAACAAACTCATACTGAGAATGAATCCAATACCAAGTATCCAAATGTCGAACTCATACCGAGAACAAAATGAAACGTGCAAGAAAATAAACATGCATGCGGAATTTCCTATTCAAAGATAGGGCTTTAAACAACCACAATTAGCATACAAAAGCAGTGCCTGCTACAAGACTTTAAACAAAAACTTCGAGCGCACGCTCTTTATTTCCTACTTCTCATGATATCTAGAAAGCAGTAAAGTGCTTAAATGAGAAAAACCAAAGAAAATACCAAACGAACAAAAGTTCGTAGCACATCAAGCAAAGTAGAGAAACCCAAAAAACTTTGAATAAGCTTCACAAAACAACAGAGAAGGATCAGGAATCAAATACTCGGAATAAGCATCGAAGCATCGTTGAAGTGAAAATAAATTATAATCGGAAACTCAAGCATATCTGCATATTGCTCAACAAATCTGCATAAGACTCAAATCTCAATAAGCAAAGGTGAATTACAAATCTCAAGTAATCGGATAATCCTGATTTAATTCCCAAAATCAAATAAAAAAATCTAACAAATTTTATTGATTTAATTATTTTTTATCACGTGAAGAAAAAGTTCAAACAAATCTAAACAATTAACAAAATTATTTAAAGGAAATTACTAATAGAATGATATCAGGGGGTGCAAGCCAATAATCATAGGGTATGATGAAGTAGGGCGCTAGGCCCAGCAGAAATGATCCATGGTGTTATTTTTTGTTGCAAAAACGGGTCTAAGAGGGGTTTGCAAGCTGGAATCCAGGAGTGTTGAAGCAGTCTGGGTGCTAGGCCCGCTAATTGTAGCCCAAGCGGTTCAATTTTTAGCAAGTGAATTGACTGCAAAAAAAAAAAAAAAACAATGAATGCAGGCCTGAAGAGTAGTATGATGCAGACCACACCAATCATAAGCACAAAAAAATTCTCAGTACATTTACCATAAAAATAATTCATTAACAAAGTAAAAGAAAAAAAGGTAAAAGAGGGACACTGTGTCGTTTTGTAGAATCTGATTAGGGTTCAACATTGTGAGACGCTTCAACTCCCTGGAAACGTGAGATCTTTCTCCTTTATCTCTCTTTGCGGATGGTGTCGATCTACTCTGTCTCTCTTCTCTGTTTTGATCCGGCCTTCTTCTCCGATGGCAACTTGCAACACAATGTCGTCGATTTTTCATACGTTATCTTCATCTATCTCTGCGTCGTGACCTCTGAAGGTTTCATAACCATCATCTTCTTTTTGTTTCATCGAAGAACATCTTCTATTTCGATTCGCCTCAAACTTACAGCGGAGATCTTCCTCTCACAAAATTATTCTCCAAAGATTTCCCAAACGAAAACCTTCCGTCGCGATTTTACTGAACAAATGGAGAAGAATAATCTAAAGAAACGTAGTACCTACCGAAAGATAAGTCCGTTGCGTCTTCAAAACTTAGATGTGCATATTTGATTCCATTTTCTCTTCTTCTTCCACTTTCTTGATTTTTAGATTTCTGCATTGTTGTTGTCATATTGTTGGCAGTGAATTCGTAATTGCAACAGTGATGATGATGAAGTGCTTCAAATATTGAAGGTTTGTTGAAGAGGATCAAGAAGATTGAAGTGACATGATGATGTTACGATTGTTGTTGTGGAGATTTTTGCGATGCTTGCAAAGAGTTCATGCATGGAGTTGCTGCTAATGATGACGATGATAATGAAAGGTGCAACATGAAGAGAGATTGCAGAAGATGATTGGATATTTATTGAACCTTGAGGATGATGAAGAATGATGAGAATCGAAAGTTAAAGCTACATGAAGATGCCCTGAAGATTGAAGAAGAAAGCAGATAGAATATGAGAGCTCTTTTTTTGTGATTCTTCCAACCATTGAAGAATGAATTGAACCAAGGCGAGTTTCAGTTTTTATATTTTGTTATATTGGAGATGGTTAGTTAGAGAGGAGCTTCAGAGGTAGGCCCTGAGATTGAAGGAGATGGTTAGAGTTTGTTGGATTCGGTTAGAAGCAGTTAGAAGGTTAGAGGAAGTTTGTTAAATTCTGTTTGAAAGTTAGTTATGGAAGTTATAATGAGCTGGAAAATTGTTAGAAATTCGTTTTTTGATTTCTGTTTGAGTGAGCCGAGATAATAAGAAACTTTTTTATGGTGGAAGTCAATCCGAAAAGTCTGTTAGAAGTTAGAAAAACAAAGAGAACTATGTTAATGACTGTTAGTTTTTTTGCTTCTTAATTAGCTTGGTCTAATTTTGTTTGGATATTTTCTCTGCATTCTCTCTTTTCACGGTTTCTTTATCATTTTCTATTTATGATTTCTAATATAACACTTCCCTTTTTCTGATATTCTGAACTAGCTTTATTGTGAATTGATTTCATCTGGTCTGAAGCATTTTCTTGATTTTCCGATATACTTCTTTTGTATTTTCTGATTTATGTTGAAGCTAAACAGGAAGTTGTGAGAGCTTTAGGTAGGGACTAATTTGGATTTCTAAATTGGAACTGAATTGCTGATTGGTTAATTTTTGAATTAGTTTTGAAAGGCTTTATGTATATGTATGTACTGTATGGCATGAGCCAGAACATGATGCCACAACTGGTTGTTAATTGCAGGACTGCTCTTCTGGTTTGGGATCATTATGTTAAGTTTGGGTTATGTATCACTGATTTTTAAGGCATGAAGATGATTGAAGAATTATATTTAGGAATATTTTTATGACTTTTAATGTGAAGTCCTTTGTTTGTAATGACTTTGTGATGTTTCTTGTGCATTTTGTAATAGAGTTTGGATGATGATTTTGTGATTTTGTAATGGAATTGGAATGTAATTTGGACATGATAAAATGTGTATACATTTTGGTACTTGACGTTGTCATAACCAGAGTTGGATAGAAAAGAGCTTGGAATCTATTCCCTTAAATTTTGAGTTTCTTCCTTTGTATTGAAGTCTTCTCAAATGTATCTCGAACGCTTAAAATGAACCTAAATCCCACTTAGTCCATAAATCGAAATCACGTTGTAATTAAACAAATTGTTCCAATTTAAAAAAAAAAGAATGATAAATGACCGCAGTCTATATCTCAATCGCTCAAGGAATATATCAGAGAAATCTTTAACCAAGATAACTCCCATAGGAAGAGTGCCTCGCTCAGAAAACCGCAGTTCACATTTATGCCGTGATTCAAAGTTTTTGCAATTCAAACCACAAGCCCTGTAGCTTGATGACCAATGATCTTAACACAAAAGGAATTCCCTGAGAAATCTCTTAAGATGTGTAAGATTTGACATGAAAACCCTAACCGATCCTTCATTGATGAAAACCCTAAGCCAGATACAAGAAATTAGGAGGGAAAATTTCAGGGTACAATAGCTGCCCCTATTCTAGCTTATTCAACCTAAAGCGAGATTGGAAACAATAGCCTTTTGGGCGATAAGGTGGAAGGAGATTGAATACAAAAATGAACACAAAAATTTGCACTCTGAATTGAGACGACGTATATAAACACATGGCATAATTTCGATGGCCTCTTGGCACTAGACTAAAGAAAAAGTTTGTAGATGGGAGATAGGGATCAAAGGCTGTGGAACTAGATTTAAAAATGCTAGTAATGACTAGACTTCACAGAATTCCAGAACGCTGAATTCTAAGAAAAAGTACGCGAGTGGCGACTTGACTCCATAGAATGCCAGAATGCAGCATCCTGAGGAAGAAAAGTAACAGTCAAAAGGTGCTAGTAACGACTAGACTTCAAAGAATGCCAGAACGCTGCATTCTAAGAAAAAGGTAAATACCAAAAGGTGCTAGAAACGACTAGAATTTACAGAATACTAGAATGTTGCATTCTGAAAAAGGTAAGGACCAAAAGATGCTAGTAACGACTAGACTTTATAGAATGCCAGAACGCTGCACTTCGAAAAAGGTAAGGACCAAAAGATGCTAGTAACGAGTAGACTTTACAGAATACCAGAATAGTAAATTCTGGGAAAAAGGTAAATATCAAAAGATGCTAGTAACGACTAGACTTTACAGAATGCCAGAATGCTGCATTCCGAAAAAGGTAAGGACCAAAAGGTGCTAGTAACGACTAGACTTCGTAGAATTCCAGAATGCTGCATTCTGAGAAAGAATAATGGCCTTACAGAGGAAGACTAGTAATGACCATACTTCACAAAATAACAGTAACGACTAGTCTCGATCAAACTGGAACAATGCCTTTCTAAACCAAAACCAATTGGCACATTATTGAAACACTGGGTGACCAAGTGAAGGTACGAGTAACGACTCGACCTTAAAAATGCTCCAAAGAATGTGCCATACTGGATCACAAACCAAAACCAAGAGTAACAACTCCTGCTTTAAAATGAACTAGTAACAAATAGACCTTGATGAGTACTCCTCAGGATACCAATAACGATTGGATCCACAAAATAATGCGAACACCTGATAATCTAGAACATGGAAGAAGCAATAATGACTGTCCCTGACCAAGGAATTACAGAGATGAAACGAGACAAATATTAACCTGAATCGGTAGAACCTAGTAATGACTAGACTCAAACAATATGAAATGAATGCCAGAATGCTGGACTCAAAAATCAGGTGACATGTCGCGAATTTGACCTTGGTAGGAATGGTATCTACCAACCCATAATGTTGTGCTAAGGCGAAGCTAACAACAATAAGGCAAATAAGTAACGAATCGATAGGGGAAGACTAGTAACAACTAGACTCCTCAGAATACCAGAACATTGTATTCTGAAAAAGATATGGGAGTAACGACTCAACATCAAAGGTGCTGATAACGACCAGACCAAAAGAAACGCTACGCCAGGATAAAACTGGATCGTAACAAGTCCAATGAGTAGCGACTCAAAAAAGGACGACATCAAATAAGAACTAGAAACGTCTAGCCCGAAAACGAAGGTATGTCAATAACGATTGAACACGACCCACGAGGACCTACACAAAGATAGGTAATTCTCTTATACGAGGGCAAGAAGGGGACCGACTTACACAAAGTAAGGGATCAGAGGAGAAAATACATATGACAGACTCATGATTATATGTTCGAAGTTGGTAGTGGAGATAAGAGAGATATTGGGTACATGCCAGGTAAAATTAGACATATACAAACAAGGAAGAGACCGACCAAAGAAGGCTCAAACAAGGAATACTAACCGCATATAGACTCCTGAAGAAAGAACACCAATTAAAGGCGAACTGGGGATAAAACATATATGTCTGGTCAGAGTTAGACACATATAATAAAGAGACCGACTGAAGTAGACTCTTAATAAAGGATGCATGCACAAAGGCGAATCAACAAGGAGGTAGACTCCTAAGAAACTAGCGCCGATCAAAGGCGAATTCCACAATGAAAAGAAGGCTAGCTGAAGGTGGACTCTTAACAAAGATAATGGAGATATATGTTAGGCCAGAGTTAGACATATACAAGAAAGAGACCGGCCGAAGAAGGCTCTGGCAAAGAAAACTCCAATTGAAGGTGAACTTACTAGGGATACAAACAGACATTGACTCTAAATAGAACGTCGATTGGAGGCGAACATACAAAGAAAAGATACCAACCGAGGAGACTCTTAACAAAAGGTACTAGCCGAAGGTGGATTTAAGGGGTTCCAGTCGAAGGTGGACTTCAATATAAAGAAACCAGCCGAAATGGAATCTTTAACAAGGAATACTATGCTAAAGGTAGATTCTTGAGGAAACAACGCCGATCAAAGGCGAACTCACAAGGGATAAAGATATGTGTAACAAGGTGGGAGAAATGACTAGGTTGTTTTACATTTGATCGCAATTGTTGCAAATAGCAAGAGTCACCACCGACTTTTCTTTTATCCGATAAGGAAAGGCTGAAAAGAACATGAAAAACCTTTAGAGATGTTTTCTGAGTTCGGGGGGGGGGGGGGGGGGGGTAGATTATGAAAAGGGAAGGTATTAGCACCCTTTTCATCCGTAGTTATCTACGGGCTCTTAGTTGATTGCTAGATCACTTGCTTTTGTTTGAATGTGCTTGTGGTGTGGGTTTTGAAAGTATTTTGAAAATGTCTTTGTAATGGTTCTCGTTTCTATAAGAACGCATACAAAGTGTTGTTTCGAAAATAGTTCAAAGAGGTGTTTGTGGAATATGTTTTTTGAAAGTCATTTTGAAAAGGTGTCTTCTTTATAATGGCTCTCATTTCTATAAGAACGCGTACAAAGTGTTTGTCTTTTGATAATGTTTCAAAATGAGAGTGTTGGTGTAAATGTTTTTGTTGTGAGCAAGAGAGCAACTAGGAGAAAATCTACCTACTCAAAAAGTCTTAGATGTTCTTTCCCTCCTCCTTTAGATGTTGTTATCTTACCATTGATTGATAAGAAGCCCTATCATTGGATGTGAAGGGACGGGCGTGGGACGTTTGTATAGTCATAGTAGGCAACCTATGGGACGTTTTAGCAATGTCTTTTAGGGACTAGATTGTTTACCAAAGGCAACATCGAGGGTCATTGAGGGACTACGATCTTTTATCGAGGGTCTTTGCTAAAACGCCCATGTTCGAGGGACATGGCTATTTTTCCGAGGCAACAAGTGAGATTACCCTAAGGGTGTATGTGTGCAAAGTGTGTTTGATTGCATGCATTTGTCTTTGATTTTTAGGTTGTCTACTTGTTGATTTTATCTTGCCATACATTCCCTATTTTACTAACAAGCATACAAAAGCAATAAAAATGTAGAAAGATAAAATCCTACACTATTACAACCATATCTAATTGCATGAAAATATAGAAGCAAAAATAAGATAAAAGAAAGAAAAATGGATGTCTTTCGATTGGGGGGAAGCAACCTTCGATTTGCATTCTGTTGGCCTCCTTTGATTGGGGATGGCAACAACAAAGTCAAGCCTTTCGATTAGGCCTTGGCAGCAGCAAAGTCAGGCCTTTTGATTGGGCCTTGGCAGCAGCAAAGTCGGGCCTTTCAATTGGGCCTTGGCAGCAGCAAAGTCCTTTCCTTCGATTGGGAAGGCACCAGCAGGATCATATCTTTTGATTTGCTTTTCTGTCTCCTTCGATTGAGAGTTTGAAACAAGGTGGTCAAACTTTTCGCCTAGGCCTGGAAACATCTAGGTTCTGGCCTTTCGATTCTGGCTTTCTGGTGCTTGGCAGCAGTAAGGCGTATCCTTCAACTGGGCCTGGAAGCCAGTGCGGTGTAGTCTAAGGTTCTTCCTTTCGATTCTGCCTGAACTTTAGTGCAAGCATGCCTTTTGATTATGTCTCTCTACCTTAGAAGTCAGCAAGGAAGCCCGAGGCTTCCTTTCATGTTTCCTCTCCCGTATTTATTTTTGTTTAAGGCACTAAATGGAAACAAGGCCTAAGGCCATGCAAATATTTGTCTTGCAAACAGTATAAAAGTTAAAGCATATTTAAATAAACAAACAGCAAAATGAAAGGGGGGGGGGAGGGGTTAGCTCTGAAAACATGTTAAGGGGGTGGAAACGAAAGGAGAAAAAAGGTTATGTACATGATATTTAAAACTAAAGAAAATCTTATTTACATATTATGCCATGAAACGAAAAGTCCAAGGGTAAGAGTGACTTACCTTGCTGGAGGCTTCGAATGGGTGTGGGACCTTGAGTGGAGGCCCAGGGTACTGGATTCGAAAGTGGGGGCCAACAGTTGTGCTTGAAACGCTTGATTCGAAGGAAGGAAAGAAACAAGTCTTATGTTTCTTTCCAAGCTGGATTCGAAGGAATGTAAAATGTTTGTTCTTCAAAATAGAAAAAAAAGTGACAAAGGAATTCTTGGTTTTTGATTTCTCAAGTGTTGATGAACTTGAGAGTTTTGGTTGTGTTTGAGAAAATTTGGGAGAGGTTACTCTGT